TCCAATATTTTTTTTGTTGATGTGTATGTTTTAGCTGGCAGCACTGGCACTTCTGTGTGGTGTTTTTCTGAGGATTGTGTGTCATGCTGAATCGAACGTTTTTGATACTAGATCAACTTCTAAAGTATAATTTTTTTTGTTTTTATATTTTTCAATATATTTATTTTGTTTGTAAAAAATAAAGAAATAATTTTTAAAGATACAATAGCCACGATTATTACTTTAAAAAGTTTACATTAGGCTTAACATCGACGAAAATTCAACGCGAAGCGACACGCAACGGAGAAAAATTTCAACACGGGATAGGTTAATATGTTTTTTCGTACATAATCGGTTATCCGAAAAATAAGTTATCCGAACAACTCCAGTCCCCAATTGATTCGGATAAACGACGCTCTACTGTATTTACAAAAATATCACATTTTCGATTCTATCTTTTAATCCTTCTTATACAATCACAGATGTAACTGCTAGCATGGGTTTTTGAAGAATATACTTCTTAAAACAAAGGTAAAAAATTCTTCAAAAAACTGTGTTAGCTGTTACTTCTGTGGTTGTATAAGAAGGATTAGAAGATACACTCGAAAATGTGATATTTTTGTAAATAGTCTAAACTTCAATTATTAAGAAATATATCCTGAATAATCACAAAAAACTAATTTTTAAGTTATTCTAACAAAACAAACACGCAAAATATAACAATTTATGCTTAGTTAAACTCAAAACGTTCTTTAAACATGCATATTTTTCGTGGATGGACTGTTTTCTAAGGAGCAATAATTTCGGAAAAATTACTAGAAAATTCAATTTTGGTTATATTTTGTTACCTTACAATAATTATTGCACTTCGTTTTGTACAACACAAACAGTTTATAAATATATTTTCGTTTTAATAACATCGCTTAAGCGGATATAGGATCTAATATAAACAGCTACGCTAACTATCGATTTTTTCATTTCTTGACTTAGATTAAAGCTTAAATATAAACGTAAACATAAAAATCTAGCAAATTCATGCCAATCTGTTGTCAAGTGTGTTCAAAAACTTCTAGATATCTTTATAAAAGACAATAAAGAACACTTACCATTCAAAATATGCATAGCCACGCGCACTTTTTGACAGAACATGGCGGATTTTAACCACGCGATACAACTAACTAATAGAAAATTTCACAACCAATTGCCGCTATTTTGATAATCTAGGTACTCTAACTTTTTCCTTTCCATTGGTTGTACCAAAGTTCAGCTTCACCGGAGGAAACCATTCAAATTGTAGTTTTGTTTTTTTTTTTTAAATCTTCATACCTTATATCAAGATTTACGTTACGGTGCAACGTAAGCAATGGGAATGCGGGCAAGTTTTCCTCAGAAAAACGCTATACTAGAGACATTATTATGAATCTATGTACGGAAAAATTAATGATCTCCTCCAAAACTCGATAGGAGCCTGTGCTGGTAGATTCGCACGATGTTTCTGGTGATTTATGATATTTAAATCTGTTCCAAGATGCTCGGCGATTGTTTCAGGCTCTGATATAACACATTGACTTTCAACAACTGCATTTCCACAGTGATTTCTCATGATGTGTGTGATTTTTTAAAATAAAAAATAATTGAAAAGATTTCTAAATGAAAATCTTTTCTGAAATCAATTAAATTAAATGGAAATTTAAGCAACTCGTTGGTGGATATTTTGCGAAAGAGTGTATATTTAAACGTTCAATATTTAAATTGTTAATATTTAATAAATTTTAAATCAAAGATTCCAATGTCATTACAACTATATTATGAAGTATTATTTAAATATCTATTTCTTAATTCTTAGTGTGTCCGTTAATGCAAAATGACAGAAATAAACATTGGTTTGATTAAGCCCATAGTTTTGACTTTAAACATTATATTGATTTTGTATAAAATAAAATATTCAAAGATTGATATAAGATTTTTAATGTACTGTATATGTAATGTATTGTAATATATATGTAATGTATATTGTCATGTAATATATTTCAATGTATCACCTGGACACTCGTGCTTTCTATAGCAATTTCAATGCCTTCCATACTATTTTTGTCAACTCTACAATCATCGATCTTAATATTAAGTTTTTTAAACCTTCTTGAAGCTTGTGAATAACTAATGACAGACAAATTTTTTCGTACTTGCCGTAAATATCCTTTTATAAACCTATAAACAAATGTAAAACTCAACTTCAATATCTGTCAACTGTGAGTGCTATGTAATAAGAAAACACGACAAAACACGTGGTTGCCAGATTTACTGTTGACCATTAAGAGGAAGTATTGTGAATGATGATAACGGCGTTGAAAATTCGAAAAACGGAATTTTCTTTAATTGAATATAACTTCTTAGAATCACGATTTTACTTTGAAACTTACTTGTTTTTTGGTTCATTCACTTAAAGTATCATATTTAAACAGCAGATCCACATAATTTAAGATGAAAACAACACAATTAAGTACTATAATATTAATTCAAAGCAAGAAAACGATATTAAAATTGACAAATTTTATTTATGTTAACTGAATTCCGAGAGTTGTGAATGGACGAATAAAAGAATTTACATTGAAAAATCTTCCATTTTTTGTGTCGATTACACTTTAAATTTTGTAATATTTTAAAATATTTCGTACTAAATTTACGTACTCTATGTACTGAATGTACTAAATAAAACTTTTTCACTTCGATGGAGAAACAGTGACAGAGGTAAGTTAATAAGTTCAAATCTAAGTTTGCATTGCCATTATTAGAAGATGTTTTGTAAACAATTTACATTATTCAGATAAATTCATACGAAAAAAAAATGTTTGAAAAAAATTGACAAACAAATGGTGTATTGAGTGCTTCTGAGTAACTTTCTATGAAGAGAATTACATAAAAACATACATTCGTTTAACGAACAATTTTATTTCTGTATTGTGAGAAAAAAGTACAGAAACGTATATGCTGTAATATGTTGTATTATGCTGTAATATTTCAATATTTCTTATTTCACAAATAGATGGTAATGAAACAGAACACATGACACTTTCGCTTTCAATTTCAGTTCTTTGTTTCTCAAAAACAAATATATTTTTGTATTTTTGAGAATAACATTTACTCTTAACAGTAAACTTTATTTCTTCGTAAACAAAAACATCTCTTAAAATTAATTTTTAAAATGATATATTTGTAATGTTAGTGCTTGTTAATGATAATGTTAGTGCAACTTAGAATTATCATTATTTCGTGTATAATTTATTAAGTAATAATTTGTTGCGAATGATTAGTTATATTTAATTATTTCTTAATTAAAGTAATCGAATAAACGAATAACATATGCAATGATATTTTAAATTTCACCATATATTAGGTTTGTGGTTGTGGTTTATTTGGTTATGGACACGTGGCCGATCTGCCTAGGGAGATGCCTCCCAAAAGTACTTCAATGTAAAACTGGATCCTATTTAGGTGTTAGAAACGTGATGAAAACCCGGAATCCCTACCTAGCCAGCACGTTGGCCAGGCGTGAACTCACGACCAACTACAGTGTTTAGTGGTTTTATCCACGAGGCCTCTTGTGGGCGCGCCTATTCACTCGGTAACAAACGACTTTCTGCAATAATTGTAACAATAAAGACATTTCGGTTTTTTTTTGCCTCTATGTCCTTACTTTTATTGATTTCTGTTTATATCTTTCTCTACTTTGTCAGGAGAAAATAAAGAGATTTTGTTGTTTCTTTGCAGACACACTAAGGTGACGTATTTCAACACTTGGCAAATTATTCACTATTTATTCAGTTGGGACGCTTTTTACATTTCGCGTTTCGGGCATTGGCCCCTCTTCAGCCAACATAAAGCACAAATCACTAGTGTACAGATGTCGTACAGGATGGACAGTTTCATATTCTATATATCACTTGGAGAACAAACGGGGTCGAGGATAACCGCTTGACTACTGGCTTTCGAATATGGCATTCTTATACTGTGGCCAGTATTCGTATATTGCACCTAAATTCATACAATAACTGTTGACACTCTTTTCCGAACAAGTTTCACGAAGTCATCTTAGCGATATTATCTAAAAGTTCATAAAGACATACGTTTTCAGTTGTAGCTTTTCGTTAAACCACTCTCGTGTACAATTTCCGCAACGACGCTATTTGGCAAACTAATTTACATATTTAAGTGAGCAGATTTTTGAACCAATTTCGATATATAATAGAAAGTGGTGTATAAACATGAATTATTATATTAATCTTAACTTATTACTTTACCAATATTTATATATTCACGAACATTAAACTTAGGTGATTTTCTTCGTAATTACAACCAATCAGCATCAACTTAGTTACAATATTTTTATCCAGTTCTCACTGATTTTAATGCTTAAATTTTTATTTATACAGTTGTTATTTTTATTTTTTATAATCTCGACGCTCTCTTTGAATTTTCTGTTGTATGTTTTCTTCTCTTTGTGTAGAATCTGTATATTGGCTTTATCAATATTGCAGTCGTTTAGTACACAATGATCATGGAATACAGAGTTGAATCGGTGGTACTTTAAATCAGACATATATTCTTTTACTCTCAATTTAAGTTTTCGTTTTGTTTCTCAAAAGTTGGTTTTACAGGTACATGGTATTTTATATACTATATTTTTCGTCTCTTCTTTATCTATTTTTTGTTTTTTAATACCCTGTTTGGCCTTTAATCTAGAGAATAGATTTTCATACTTGAGAGCAAGTTTAATATTATTTTCTTTCATTTCTGTATCTATTTGCTCATACATAAGAAACAGCATAATAACAACAACACGGTTTCATCAGAATCAAACCAGAGATTTTGTTTTGATTTTTTGACTAAGTTCTCTATTTGATAGACAGAAACTACGTTAGTTTCATAAATTCTATTAATTAATAAACAAAGTACAAAGCAGACAAAAATAAAAACAAAAATCAAAAACATCTCAAATTCATGCTTGGAAATTGGGTTAAAATATACAATCGATAACTAACTACTTTTTCCAGGGAATAACAATGGATTCTCCAATACTCAGCAACACTGGCAATAGAAGCAGTCCGTTAAGAGCAGCGAAAACCATAATCAACAAAATTATTTTGAAAAATATCACAAAAGTATAGGAAGGTCCAAATGCCAAAACAACGACACCCAAGACTGTAGACAAGCAACCTTGAATTACAGGATATCCCGTGGAGTACAAACTATATTTAATTTTTTCTTCGGATGATTCCTTCTCGGATGATTCCTTCTGGCAACACTTATACGCGTATGCCACGTGAGCCGAAAAATCGATGCATAATCCCGCACTCATCATTAAAATCAGGACCGATATCAGATCTAATTTGACATTCCACCAATTCATGTAACCCATTGTCTCTACTAGAATGCAGACGACGTTTAATGACACGCAAACGGTGCAAGAAATATCTTGTATCATCAAGAGGAATATCAGACTTACTACAAAGACGGCGACACCCACGTTTTGCAAACAGATAGCGGGCATATTCAATAATTGCTCGTAGAAAACAAATAAAGGGTTGTATACGATTACGCGGTATTTGCTACGATCCGCAATCTGACGTAAACCTTCTAATAATAATTTCTCATCAGTTCCGGTTCTGACGCTTTTGGACGAAACAAAACATCTTGAAGCTACAATTTGGTTTCTCTCTCTATCCCAAGATAGATCTTTTCGGAATTGAATGGCTGGCTTAAATCGGAGAAATACTTGGTTCAATCCTTGTACGAAACCTCGTGGATCGCTCGTGTTAAAATCATTCATCAGATAATTAAAGTCGTTATTGTGAATGAAAGAAAGATATTCTCGTATCCAACATAAGGAGTGTTCGCGTCCACTGATATAAGGAGCGTTCTGAACCATTGATAAGATGTTCTCTACTTCTTCTTGTACACTGGGACTTGAATAATCTAATGTCTGGTTAAAAACAATTTGTATTACGTGTGCATAATCCGTAAAATACAAATAGTAGTCATTTATGTATTTCGTAAGATAAGAGGAATATGGAAACACCTCATCCATATTCAACCCCTGTTTAATATTTTTAATGCTGTAAATGCTTCCTGCAATATTGCATACGAACATAAATACGATTAGAGTTTTCACTGATTTTCTCCCGAGGAAGGTTCCGAAATTTTTAGAAACGAACTTCATAGCTTTAGACTGCTTCCTGTCTGTCTCCTCTTTTCTGACTTCGGATGTTTCGTTTTCTGAAAGTGAAAAAAAAAGTACTTTGCGAAATTATTTTACGATTCTTTTGTTACTAAAAAAAAGGTAATTATTTTAAGCAAATTCTGCAGTATTCTTATGAGCAGTTGTAGATTATAAAAGTTTTAATACAACATTTGCATACAGATAATACAGTTAGTTAGTGAAATTTGGCAGCTATCACTGAACTACTAAGGAGAGTCAATTTTATGACACCTCGTTTCTCTAGCTTCACAACAATATATTGAACCGCATGACTATTATAATAGTTGATGATAGCTTAAAACGCACAAGTACGCCCGCTGGCCGTAGATGTTAGACGCTCGTCGTAAAGATAAAGAAATGTTATGGTTGAGATCAATGTAAATTTTCAGTAATCGGACAATACTGATGTAGATTCACATGTAGCGCGCGACCAGCTCACGATGGCTATCGACTCGTAGACTTTGTGGCGAACTTTGACCTCGAATATCTCAGCTTATAGAAGGTATTTGAAAATTCCGGTTTCGTCACGACATCGGCGTTGTTAAGTTGTACTTATTTACAAAAGACTATGTCTAAGGGTCATGCGGTTGCTTTGAACTTCGATTATAGACAAAACACTGACTTATAAAGCTTATTCTCGTTATGTGCCGCTCAATTATATTTAAATGACTTTATAAAGAATTCATGTGACATTAATCCTATGTAATGAAATTTGTTAATTGCTATTAATTACATATAGGACATACTGTCTTAGAAAGAAACACAATATAATGCTCAAATTCAAATGTCATTTTAGGTCTGCGGTAATGTCACCTTTGACTTCTCATGTTTTGATAAAAGTATTGCTGTCATCAAATTAATCAAGCCGTTTCACGTGTTTTTCTTTCAATATTACTTACTTGTGATTGTAAAAAACCGAGTAAAATTCGCTGCAATAAAAGCAGCTTTCCTTTGTAAAAAGCTTGAAGTAGTTATTTGTTTTGCCTCTATGTCTTTATTGATTTCTTTTGTATCTTTGTCTACATAGGACTTTGCCCATTAATAGGACTTATTATACTGGTATAGTTTCTGTTTAGGAAATAGAGATGATCTTATTCAGAAAAATCGAAATAACATATTGTTTCACCTATCTGCCTTTAATTTTTCTATTTCTTCTAGTTTCTTCCTGCTGTTTGTATTTTCCACTTCACTAGAATTTCGGCTGTAGATTATTTAATACATAATTATTATATACTGAAAGTGATATTGTGTGTTGTACATTTTGATTGGCTTGTATGACAAATCTAGTTTTTATCTCGGGGCGGACTAATGCTGTAGAATAACAGCAAGTGACAGAAATGTACCTAACATTTCCGGAAAAATTGGAGGGAGATTCTTCCAATTCTGACAAGATAATGTGCCTGCTCATCGTGCAAAATTAAAGTGGAACTGTTTTTCGCAAATGGTGTGCGTGTTACGGATTGGTCTGATATCTCCTCATCTTATATAAATTCGTTTGGCATATTAGCAAAGAAAGAATATTCGAATGAAAAGCTCTATATACATAGTGGAATAAGTAAAACAGGCGATAACTGATGCTTGGCAAGAAACCACAGACGAGAAAAAAGTTATTAAACAAATTCCAGTAAGAGTTTACGGAGTAATTAATAAAAAGGTGGACATATTTCTTATTAGTAATAAATAAATTCGCTTATGATTTAAATTCTCAAGTGTTTCTTATCATTTTTGAACAATTATATTCTATACAAGATTGTTAAAATTCCTGTATAGTACATGTGTGTTTTCACCGGATACTGGTGTTGGCAGGCCGTTGGCCGCACATGTAGGAATTTTAAACGTTACTTGACATTTTCGTCGGATATGACGTTGGACGGGCACGTACTCCTTCTATTCTGCGAGATATAAACGTCTACAAACATAATGCTAGAAGCGTTTACCATATTTGTTTTCGTGTCATGTCGGAACGAACCGGAAAGTCGTTTTCGTAAAAATATGTAATAACGTAATAATGATACGATCCTCGATTCCTAGAGCGGTAGTCTGACGCCTTAACCGTCTGAGCCATCTGACAGTCTCCACTCATATGCGCGCACAACATTCTTTGCCTGCACGAAAAAAATAAATTCACACGAAAATATGTACTTACCGAAATGCTTTTCTTTTACTGTGTAACAAAGAATGGAACTAAGACGACGTTCTTCTCTGTAGCCATCGAGCGCCATGAGACTTCCAAAGAAGAAGATCTGATAGATGAGGTCGAAAAATACGGACAGAGCGCTGTAGCAGCAAAAGATACGAACGACTCTAAAAGGTGAAGTGATTCCAACACAAAACGAAGCAAGATTAGTCAAGGAAGTGATGGTGATGGACACTCCCGCTTCGGAAAAAGTATGGCTCATCCTCTGCATCACGCTGTCTTTTGCGTTCGTTCGCCTCCAAGCAGACAACAAAACAAAAGAATCGTCTAGGCCAATACCTACAAAAATCAGTGAGCGTTAATTTTTCGAAAAATTGATCAAGTACAAATACACACAAAACACTAGAATAATTTTTAAAATTTTCACGCAGAGTACAGATGCAGATTATTTGAGAAAACACGAACAAACTGTCGTGGTTTAATGAAATTTGAGAAAATAACATTATAAGAGAAACAAATGTGTAATACTTGACGATGCTGTCACAGTGAAGTAATTGAAGAACAGTGTATCCCATAGAATTTGTTGCAATGTTTTCCATCGTAACTTGCGATGTAAATATGATTTGTAATTAATTGAACTTATTTTGCTTTTCCACAATTTTAATGCCACTAAACGTTTTAAAACTGTTTGACACTTTAACAAAGCTGATTTTCGTAGTGTTGGAATAAAGCAAAAATTTTTGGAATTTTAAATTTTATAGTAGCCTACAACGCTAATTTAAAAAGCAAAGAATAAAACATAGTTTACTCAAGAAAATAAACGCCATTACATTCAACTGCCTTCTTCCATGGATTGGGCAGGTACGGTTTCTTGCTGAATAAAACTCAAGCTATTCTACTGAAAGAACTCTGCAAATGTGATTTTCATTTGGTCATCAGCAAATCGTTTTCCATCCGAGAAGTGTTGCGTGGAGCTAAAGAGACAGTAGTGGAATGGTGCAATGTCTCGTCTATACGGGGAAGAAAGAGAATCTACCATCAGTGATCAACTAGCTTCTAGTGGTCAACCTTGAGGTGTGGTTTTGCATTCAGATTGTATTGAACTTTAACGTTCATTTTGCAGACCATTCCATTGTCAGATGAATGACAAAGTACAATGGACTAGTCACAACCAAGTGTTTGGCTTATTTCCCACAAGGTGATGGGGTTGCTAGGACGGAAGGTTTTTCTCAGGAATGCTCATCTTCGATTCTTGTCTTATCTTATTGCTTAACTTAAAATTGCTAAACCAATCGTAGATTGTATACGTAGAAACGACTTTCCTGTGAAGCAATTGTAATATACCGCGATTAGACTTAGTTGATTCTATACGAAATTCTATACCAAATAGAAAATCGGACGTCTATGAGTCTTCAGAAATCGTTAGTAAACTTCATGCATCTTTGATATCGCCGCAGAAGATGTTTTCACTCGCGATTGTACATCTCAATAACCTTTGTTTTACATACCCCAGAAGATAGTTGGAAATTTTATCCGTCGAAGAGCGGTTTCGAATATTCTACAGAAGTCTAAAAAATTCCAGAAACTTTTGCATCAATGTAGTAGAATTTTGAGTCGACAATTATAAGTCATAAAATAATAAAAAACATATTTAGAAACTTATCCCTGAAATTTTTCATGATAGCAAATATTCTAAAATTTTATGTACTTACATTCAGAAAATTCCTTTGTAATTACTCTTTGCAAAATAATACAGATGTTTACTGATTACTGTATAAAAAATAACTAGAAATCGTACCTATGAAAAGAAATAGCACCGTTGTATTGACGTCAGAATATTCCATTCCGCAGTGTAACAGCAAACCAAACGATGCTATAACTGCTAAACAGGGACTAAAACACCCCGCTAGTCCAATCCACGGTTTACTTCTGACGATGTCGAACGTCATACAACTTGCCACCGAGAAGAAAATTACTATAGGACTTATTATATATGCGAGCGGAATGCTCAGTTCTGTGTTTCTGTTAGCTTCGGCATTGACACTGCGAAGAGTAAAAAAGGAAACATCGATGTGTCGAAATTCCGCTCGAATCATTATATTCAAAAATTCCTCTTCCCACTTTAAAGCTACTCGTTTCTTCTCTTCTGTTCCGAAATCCATAAAATAGAAGAGACGAACGGCCTTGAAGTCCGTGATGTATCCAGTGTCATTAGTTGATACTCCACCTAAGTTCATAGCATTTATTTTTACATCAAAACCTGTTCGTTCTACTGGATATCTAAACACGTAAAGAAGCAAATAATAAAAAGAAATTGTACTCACTTGTCAGATGACATTATTCTGGGATTTTAAATTAATATAGCTAAATGATTGAACTAATTCGGACGTAAGTTTACTTTCTGATAATCTAAATCGTCACAGACGAGATAGTAAAAAACGATGGATGAAGGAATACGATACAAAAACTGTAATTACACGGAAATAAATAAAGTATGGAATCATTAGTAAACAAATAAGAATAATGTGCAAACAGGCAAAGGAAAGTAGTTGAATCAATCATGTCTGGAAATGAAACAAATGGCAAATGGGAACGACTTAAAAAGAGTATACGAAAAACTAAACTTAATCTCAAAGAAAAAATGAAATGCAGAATTAAAACTCTGAAATTCTTTGGCTCGGACTCAGAATTGGGAATGGAAATATTTAATTGCAGAAAGATGAACAAATGCTACAATGAGGAATGATCTCTACGGAAATGAGGAGAGTTTAAACCTAGAAAGAATGGAGGCAAAAGAAGAGAATACAACATTTCTTAAGGATGACATTTATGCTGCATTGAAAAAACCGAGGGACAGAAAGACACCAGAAATAGATAAAATACAAGCAGAACTCCTTAAGGCTATGGGAAAAATGGAACAAGAATCCTAACTAATTTTTGAACAAGGTTTTAGAGGCAGATATTTCGGTTGATTTCACAAAATTTATCTTTATTCTTGTTCTTAAAACTGCGGGTACCTTATATTGTGATAAACGCAGAACTAGTAGCTTGATAAGCCATGCCTCAAAGGTTTTAGTTAATATCATACAGCGAAGAATAGAAAACTACATAAATGGAGGCCTTTACAATGATACGACTGATAGGAGAAAGAATAATTGATTATAATAGAGAGATATTTGAATGTTCGTTGATTTCGAGAAGGCCTTTAATAGTGTTAATCAAACGCTGTTATTTGCGACTCTGCAAAAAATAGATATTGATAAAAAAATTATTGAGAATAATAAATTTTCACAAATTGTAATTTTATCAACACTATCTAAAGAAATGTAGGATTTTTCCTCGTCTAGACTCTAGACCAGGGGTGTCAAACCTTTTTTCTTTCTGGGCTACATTGAAAGAAGTCAAGGAGTTTTGGTCCACAAGTATATATAATATATACTTGTGGTTCAATATTATACAAGTATATTTAAGGAGTAACATGTCTACATTATAATAATAAGTATCAAAACTTTTTTTCAAGAAAAAGGATATTTTAAAAAATTACTTCTACAGACACTTTTAATCTTTACTTAGAAATCGATAAATTCATTTATTAGAAAAGAGTCAAACGAAAATTTATTTGAAAAACATAAATGTTTGTATTATTTGGGTCTCCAATTAATAAAACGCGACGAAACATTATAATAAAGTGCATTTTTATTCCACAAATCTAATATATAATCGAGACGGGTTCATAATGATAATAATAATTAAACAACACGCATTATGGTTACAATATCAGACATGAAAAAACAACACATTTTACACTGTCACATCTCATGTACATGGACGACATAAAACTTTATGCATCCATACAGAAACAACTTCATCAACTCCTACAAATCACACATTCATACACTAAGGACATACAAATGGAGTTTGGTTTCGACAAATGCAAAAAACTTCACATAGAAAAAGGAATCCTGAAGAAAGAAAGTTTTGCACTTGGAAATGGAGATGTTATTGAATCCATGGAAGAGGGCGAGCTCTACAAGTATTTAAAATTCCAACAGGCCAAACAAACAGAACATACACAAATAAAGCAAAGATTAATTAAAGAATACCAAAGTAGGTTAAATGCTATTCTCAAAACACAGCTAAATGCAAAACACACAGTTACAGCAATAAACACATATGTCGTCCCAGTACTCACATACTCTTTTGGAGTTATACATTGGACTCACACAGATCTCGAGCAACTCCAAAGGAAAACAAGAACAACACTAACTAAGCATAAACAACATCATCCTAAATCCGCTACAGAAAGATTAACCCTTCCACGTAAAGAAGGCGGACATGGCCTGATTGACATAGTTAACCTTCACTACAAACAAATACAGTCACTGCGAGAGTTTTTCTACAGGAAACAAGAAACATCACAATTACATAAAGCAGTAACTGTAGCAGACTCAAATAACACACCATTAAACTTACACTCGCATCTTACAGACTAGACACAACATATAAAAAGCACTGACACCATCAAGCAATCGTGGGCTCGAAAGGCACTTCACGGCAGGCATCCTTATGGCCTGGCCCAAGATTGTGTTGACAAAACTGCGTCAAACAGCTGGTTAGATCGGGGATGCCTCTTTGGGGAGACGGAAAGATTCATGATTGCCATACAGGATCAGGTCATAAATACTAAAAATTACAGAAAACACATACTCAAAGATACAACAATCGCAAATGACACATGCAGAAAATGTCACATCATGCCAGAAACTATACAACACATCACATCTGGGTGCAAGCTCTTGGCACGGAGATTATTTACACAGACATAATCAAGTAGCAAATATAATACACCAAGAGCTTGCAAAGAAACACAAATTGGCAGACATCCACGAACCATACTACAAGTATATACCACAAACAGTATTTGAAAACCACACGCACAAACTGTGCTACGACAGAGCCATAATTATAGATAAAAGAATTCACCACAGCAGACCAGACATCACACTCATTGACAAACACAATAAAATCACATACATTATAGACATAGCCATTCCAAACACTCACAATGTACAAAACACATGCACTGAAAAAATTAGCAA